TATATTTCTCTATTTTTCATGTAGACACACAACACACACAATACATGCACAAACACACACACATAACTGTAACCAATCAAACACTCCCAAATCAAACTTACACATCATTATATTGTCACCAATACAGATTTATGATTTAAATCAATAAGCAAATGAACCGTCTGTTGAAATAATACTAAGAAAATCTTATTTGATTGTAAGTCTCTACATTTCTCCATATCTTTTCCTAAATAAATTGATAATTTGTTACAAACTCTCTAAATTCTTACTTATATCAATCTAAATCATTTCCCCTCCCACTACATACAAATGTGTGTGCTCATTTATTTTTTAGATAATTCAGGGTAATATAATTAATTATATTGAATCCAACTAACGAAAAAAGTAAGGGGTCTTATGTTTCAGATTTACAATTGTTTTATTTTGACTCACATATTTCGATAATTTTTATATTTCAAATATTTTCAGGTATACATTGAAGTATACTTGGTCTAACTTGTAAAGAATATGAAGTTGTTTCTTTATTTTGTGCATGTGTGTATTTTTTGTGTTCCGTCTTTTGTAAAGTTAACTATTTGTACATAGTTATGATGATTTTGGGTATGGAATGATGGTTGTTTTGGTAGTTTGGATATGTAGTGATGATTGTGGTGATATGGTGTATTATGATGATTGTAAATTTTGTAGACAAGTTTACATTTTTCTAGAGATATATTTTTAAAGAAAATTCTGCAGAAATTTCTTAAAATTAGTAGGGATTAACTTGATGTTTTGGTGGTTGGATATGTGTTGATGATTGAATATGTATTAATTATTGTGGTGGTATGATAAATTATGATAACGTTATGTCTGATTGTAAGTTATTAGGTAATGTAATATTTTTCGAGTTTTAATCTAATTTTTCGTTACGCCGTGCCTTCAGCTACGTGCAATTACTAGTTATATAATATTATTAGATATGAGATGTCAAATACAGACGGATATTCACTTTATACTTTTTTACCTAACCCTCTCTAATGACATGTTTGGATGGTTTTGGGGTGTGGGATTAGATTAGTTTTATCAAACTTTTTTAAACTCAATCTCTACCTTTGTGTACATGGGATTCATATACCCTTGTGTACATGGGATTCAAATATGTATCCTACCCATACCCGTGTTTGATTAAGAACATATACATATGTGAAACCTACGGATTTATCACAATTATCAACACACATTTGTTTTATAAATGACTATATTACCCATTAGTCAATCTAATTTAAATTCATGTTTGTTTAATTACAGAGAGAATTAATTGGGGGGATGAGATGTAATTTAATAGATAAGATGGATAGAAGAGTCATTTGGTATAGTTAACCTAAGCTAGGATATATGAAACCCCCCTCCCCCTAGGTTGCCCAACCCCATGTATTTGGGTTTAATACACCGGACCACTTACGGATCCGGGTATGAATCCCGAATTTAAAAGTGCTAATCAAATACAAAATTATGGGGTCTATCGAACTATTTTTCTTATACACCCTTCCAGATTAGTTTAGTTTTATCAAATCTTTTTAAACTCAATGTTATCATCATTTTGACGGTATGAAGTCATGTCATTATTTTAACAATGTATTATTATATCACAATTTTAACAGTGTCAAGTCATATCATAACTTGACAGTGTGATGTCGTGTCAAATTTTTATATAATTTCCTTGTAACTTTAAAATGTACAATCCGACTTATATAAACCATCATCCATAACTGTGTAAATCATAGAAAAAAAAAATATCTAGGCGCTCATCAAATAGGCAATCAAGTCAAACCATCGAAGATTCTTCATCACACGATGAACAACATAGTTCATCTTTAGCCAACAAATGTCAATGCTCAATTGACCAACTAGCATCATTGAACATAGTTCTTTCTATTGGGTTGTATACAAATTCTGGTGGTGTTTAACATGGTATGGACAAAAGCGTAAGTTCCACAATGAGCTCATCAACCTTATAACCTATTAGGACATGTTAGACACGTAATTATTGAGCGTGCGACCTACATTCCGCCTCCGGGTGCTCATATAAATCCCACACTAAGATAACGAGAGTTATATGACAAACATTGTGAAGTTGAATTATATATTGTTGTTAGCATAGATTAGCAACCAAATGCACGTTCGATTGATATATATTATCCATAAAACTCAAACAACTATGATGAGATTATAGTTAGGCCTGAACGTGAAAATAATTAGATGTAGTGTCGGCTTGATCGTTTGCATGCAATCGAATATAAAAAAATTGAACATTTTGATCCAGACTATGCCGAGATTAAAAATTTAGAAGATCTATTACTTATTTCTGATCCTGAACGTTTTGTTTTTTCAGATTTAAGTGATGATGCATCAGACACTTTTATTTCATCAAGTTTATATGTATGTGGTCAAACTCTATGTTGTTATAAATTTTAACTATATTATTGATAGACTGTATTTTATGCAGCGTTATGTAATAAGTTTATATTTTTTTAATGCATAATTATCATTTTTTCATATGTGCATGGTTTGTACAATTTCAGGAAACAAATCACATTTTTCGATGAATTTATGACATTGTTTTGAAATAGACAAATTTATTAACATAAAACGAAAATTGTGGACATGATGAATGTTATCACAAAATTCATATATGTTGACCGACTGTATTTTATACATTCTACGCAATGTCATGCAATGAATTTACTATTTTTAATTCATAAGTTGCATTTTTTGGCATGTTTATGGTTTGTAAAATTTTGGACGAAAGATAACATTGCTGGAAGAACTTATAGCATTGTTTTGGATTGCACAAATGTTATGTATTTAAAACGAAACTTGAAAACATGATGATTTAAATATCACAAAAAAAAAAAAATCTGTGTCATCCAAATCTTCATTTCAAATGCCTACTTTTAAGACATCATACCTAACACCATTAAGTTATAGCTTAAAATAGATATTGACACACGTCATTTAGAATGACGTCTTTAAACTTGTCATTACAAATGACGTTGTATTTTTAAATATATTTAGACTTGAAAAAAATTCTCATGTTTAAAAGTGTCATTTAAAATGAAAATTTTAACCATAAAGAAGTCATTTCAAATAACGTTTTTAAAAAGAAACTGAGTTTTAGAAATAAGTTTGAAAATAACTGATTATAGGAAAAAATATTTGAGGGAAATGAGAATGATAAAAAGCTCAATATTTTTTTGTTTGAATTTACCACACTACTTGGCGGTATTAAGTGGTCTACATAACCAATCAGAGGTTGTACATTCAAAAAATATAAATATATCATTCATTGTGTTGTCAAAATTTTTTTTTTGTATGAATTTGATATGATAATTTTTTATTAGATGTGTGCACCAGGATGACACTGGACCAGGAAAAACGGGGATTCGTCTAAACTCTCTTCATTTGGACCAGGAATGAACCATACATATTGGATGATAAACGTATACGAAGATACACCAAAAGAGTGGTGGCGCCAAGCAAACTTAGATTGGACCATGAGATTTCAGAGTTGTTGATGATTTGAGCTTGATACTAAATACTAATTGTATGCCTATTCTTGTATCAACCGGACATGATCACTGCGGGAATGGACACAACTGCAAACTCTCCGGAGTGGGCCATGGCTGAGTTGATCAAGAACCCAAGTGTCCAACAAAAGGCCCAAGAGGAACTAGACCGAGTTGTCGGACTCGAACACGTCTTGACTGAAAAGGACATCTCAAACCTTCCTTACCTCCAATGTGTAGCCAAGGAGGCTCTCCGGTTGCAACCTATAACCCCACTTATGCTCCATCAGTAAGCCAACGCCAATGTCAAGATCGGCGGTTATGACATCCCCAAGGGCTCCAACGTGCATGTAAATGTCTGGGCCGTAGCCCGTGAACCCGCCCACCGTGTGGAAGACTGTTCGAGTTCCGGTCCGAACGGTGCCTAGAGGAGGATGTTGACATGAAGGGGTATGATTTTCGTCTACTACCATTTGGTGCTGGAAGAAGGGTTTGCCCTGTGGCACAATTGGGAATCAATTTGGTCTCTTCCATGTTGGGCCACCTTTTCACCATTTTTATTTTACTCCACTTAGTGGGCTGAGCCCAGAAGAAATTAACTTGGCGGGGAATCCGGGACTGGTGACCCACATGAACCTTTTGATATATTGATGGAAAAACTAACGAAAAGTAAATAGAACGGTCACATTGTAACACTTTTGATACATTGATGGTGTAATATAAGAAATTTAATCTTTGAGTATAAAAAGTAAGAATCTTACAAGTTTTTAGGGTGCAAAGTGCAATTTGCCCTTTATTTATTATTTGAAATGTTTAGGCTTGTGTCGACTAATCATCGAGCTCTGAGCTTTTTTAAAAACATGTCATTTGAGGAACAAATGTGACTTATTTTTAGTGAGTGTGAAAAGTATCGAACAACCTCTCACTTGCAAGAGGGACGAACTTGACCACTAGAATCAAGATCACCCCTAAGAGGATGGATAACAAAATATAATATGATTCGATACTAATACGAGATGAGTTAGAAGATTTGAATCTTTCTTAAATCACTTGTTTTATAAGTGAATAGATTCTATACGATACGATTAATAAACAAATCAGGTATGCGTGAAGTCAATTAAAAAAAATATACTATACAACTGCTTTATATATGATTTATACTCGATATAATTCATACTCGATATGATTGGTTAGATATGTATTAATAAACAGAGTGAATGTGGTTGATTTTTTTTTTATATTTACCCGCTAAGACCCGATTAAAAGGCCCGTATAATACACGAACATCTAACACCTGTCTTCCTGGCACAGACACATGCCATATGGAGCTCTCTACCTGAAGATAACAGCTTTGTCTGTAAATAACCCTAAAATTCAACTTCATTCGGTTTGGGAACAAATTGACGAAATCACAACCGCTAGTTCTGAGGAAACGATCACTTATCGGACTGGTTAATGGCGGTTTCAGAAGAAGAGTCTTCGTCTACTGACGGTAGTAATAAATCGAGATCAGCTTCCAATGGCGCTTACTATCTCGCAAAGACAGTTCTCAGAGGGAGCGTTGTTCTTCAAGTGGTTCATGGTCACTTCCGCTCTCCTTCCTCCAACGACATCGTCTTTGGCAAGGTTTCTCTCTCTCTCACACACATACACACAATTCACCACTCAATTTCACACAGACGGTGTTTCACATATAGAGATTGATGACGCAGACACCGCTTTGTTGGTTTAGTTTTATATCTGCTGGTTTGATCAGTGGTTTGTTATAATAGATGTTCACAAATTCATGGTTCAGTTTATGCATTTAGAGCTTCTGAGAATGCAACTATAGTCTATGAGAAATTAGTTTAGGGGGATGCACATTTAAATTTTATGCCAAATTCATAAAAGGCAATTACCCAGTGCAGTCCAGCTCTAGCAGTGTGCTGGCAGAGGTTAAACTGGAGCACAACTAAACGTTGGCATATTTGCACAAACTGCCTGCTGATAGACTAGACTTGCGTTCTCACGCATGACAGCCCGAACACTTTATCTTTGAAATAAGCAATGGTCTTGCACACCTTAGATATACACACATATATAAGTTCTCTTTGTTTTAAACATTTATAATGTGTTGAATTTATAGACTTCAATTGTTGGTAGATTAAGATGTTTGGTCATGTTCAACCGAGGCCGATTGAGGAATTGGTTCGAAAAAGTAATAGAATTTCTGTTAATGGTACTAGAAGTGGGGTAGACTTTAATTAACATTGAACGAAATAATAAAAAAAGATATAAAAATATTTAACTTAAACTAATGTATAGCGTATGATTGAAATGAATGACGAAAACGGACTCGTGTAGCCAATCTCAAATGATTGTGATATAAGGCTTGGTTTTGTTTGGTTAATTGCTTCCAGACANCTTTAATTAACATTGAACGAAATAATAAAAAAAGATATAAAAATATTTAACTTAAACGAATGTACAGCGCATGATCGAAATGAATGACGAAGACGGACTCGTGTAACCAATCCCAAATGATTGTGATATAAGGCTTGGTTTTGTTTGGTTAATTGCTTCCAGACATTTGTGTTTCTCTCATCTTAGATTGTTTGTTGAAATAAGTTATGGTTACTAGTTAACCAGCATGGGTATTGAATGTTGCCATGGTTCAAGTTCAAGTATTTATGTTTTGAAATATACAATATGGAGGTAGTGGCCGAGGTTGGGTGGCAGAATTGGTTTTCTAAGGCCCCAAGATGCATACATGTGCTCTTTTTTTTTTTTTTATGCTGTCAAAAAAGGAAGGGAGATGAATAAGAATATAAAGAAGTTTTATGGCACTTGTGAAATGGATGTGTGGTATGCATGCACATTTGTTCGTGCACTATTTGATNGGTTTTTTTTTTTTTTTTTTTTATGCTGTCAAAAAAGGAAGGGAGATGAATAAGAATATAAAGAAGTTTTATGACACTTGTGAAATGGATGTGTGGTATGCATGCACATTTGTTCGTGCACTATTTGATTCTGACCAAGCTATTGAAATTCAGTTGTTATTTTATCATGCTAATTACCTCAGTAATTTGCGTCACAACATATTATTCATCTTTAATTTGACAAATTTAGAGGGCATTCGGAATGGTTAGCCCACAAACACAATGTGTTCTTCTACATTATTGGTGTCTCATCTCCAATTTCTCTTGTAGATGCAATTTACATACCAATAAAAAGAATCCAAATGCAAAGTTTGGTACGAGATTTGTTATGTGTAATCTATTTCATGTACAAAAATTTTATCCACCCGTCAACTGAAAAAAAAACACACATTAAATGCTTTTTGATCTAGTTGATCTTATTTTGCTTTTCAAGAGGAGTTCTTCCTGACAATGAATGTCTATTTGGTTTTGTTGCTGTGACACGGTCTCATTAGGCTGGCAACCTAAGGGTAATCTGAACTTATATCTATTCCATTCATCACACGTTATTCCATGTGAGGCTTGCCTTTTCATTAAGTATGTAAAGTTGATAACAAGTCAAGTTTTAGTTTTTGATCCTTTTTATATAAAAAAAAAAGTTAGTTTTTTGACATAAAAGGCATTCATATACCCTTTTATACCAATTCAGACGTAAAATCTTCTTATCTGTGGATCCTTTATGGAAATATTTATTTAATATATTGTGACNCATAAAAGGCATTCATATACCCTTTTATACCAATTCAGACGTAAAATCTTCTTATCTGTGGATCCTTTATGGAAATATCTATTTAATATATTGTGACACTAGTAATAACCCGTGCCTAAAGACACTTTACAACTAAAAAAACACCGTCACTTTGGAACAATTTTTCTTTCATTTGCTTCAATTAAAGAAATTGAAATCAATCTAGTCTTCACTATTTTTTTTAAAAAAATCGTCATAATTTCCTCTAAAAATAGTAATCTAGAAAAATCTCAACCTGTATACAAAGATTATATATCTCATAGTCATACCCAAATCAACATCATAATATTAACCATTCATGTCATAGTCCATCTTTAAAACAACAATTTAACAAAAANCTCATAGTCATACCCAAATCAACACCATAATATTAACCATTCATGTCATAGTCCATCTTTAAAACAACAATTTAATAACAAAACAATTTACCTAGCTATTGGTTAACCCTATTCAAGTATTGGTTGAATTGCAGATAAGTTTAAATTAATATGGGCTTACTATTTTTCAAATAATTTCAACAAAATCATCTCTAAAAATTAACAATATAAGATTCCTTGGTTATGAAAAAGAATTACAGTCCAGCCATGCATTGATCAAGCTGTCAAAACAACAACTTTGTGTGACTAAATCAACCTGAAGACAGGAAAGAAAATGAATTAGTCATATTTGTAGGACACTAAACCGGACAAAAAGAAAAGGAAAAATAGAAGCGTATGCGAGAAAATATGAATTGCAAACCCAATAAAGCAAATGCGAGAAAATGGAAGCCTGTAAGCAATTGTCTAAACCCAATAAAACAAATGGAAGCACAAAAATAGAACTAATTTGTAACGGAAAAATTGGGAAAACAAAGCTAAGAGGATTCCTTTCGTGATAGGGGTTCTTTCAACATCAACTCAAAGCCACACAAAACAAAAAGTTACAATAAAACTTAAGGACATAATCAATAGTTAATTGAGAAAGTTTCTAAAACCCGTAAACTTTTATAGATTTCAAACAAAATAGATCACATTCAAAGTGGTATGACACTAAAAATAAATAACCTAGCTATTCTCAAAATAAATAAAAAATTACCTCCCGACATGAGAGTGTCGAGTGATCGTGATCACCGCTTGAGTTCAACCATAGCAAACATTTCCTTCAATTTGATTTGCGTCAAATTGAACCTAATGGCAATAGAAACACATGTTTATCAAAAAAATCGACCCATCATTCCACAGAAGAGTTGGAAATTAACCAACCTTTATATACCAATGGAGCAATAACATTCAAACCAATTTAACATTCAAAATACCCAAACTATAACAATCAAACTATAACATTCGAACTACAACAAAACTTATCAAACTTATTTGAAAAAACACTCAAATGAACACCAAAATTATCAAATCAATTTAGAGCATCCAAATTCCAATTGAAAATTGCCAACTTGATATCTCATCAAAAGTATGCATATTAATATGCAGAAACACATCTATGAACCTATCAATTTCATTAGGCTATTCAAATTAAACCAAAATTCACAGGGGTTCAAATTAAATACTAAAATTCATATTCAAAACCACAAATAATATGTACATCATCAATGCAGATAAAATACTCAGCAAATCAAGCCAAAACTCTCACTTCAGAACACCAAGGTGGAGTAGTTATATAACCCCAGACTGACTCTCAGTATGGAGGAGACAAACCTAAAAATTATGGAAGAACCATAAATTTAAAAAAAACACAAATAAAAGTAGAAACGTATTAGGTTTCTTATCAGGTTCTCATTCTTTATAATCCGCCTGTCTTAGGGCCAGAGTACATTTTTTTCCGTATCAGTCCAACCACCAATATAAATACTTGAAGCAATAACANCGCAGACTGACTCTCAATATGGAGGAGGCAAACCTAAAAATTATGGAAGAACCATAAATTTAAAAAAACACAAATAAAAGTAGAAACGTATTAGGTTTCTTATCAGGTTCTCATTCTTTATAATCCGCCTGTCTTAGGGCCAGAGTACATTTTTTTCCGTATCAGTCCAACCACCAATATAAATACTTGAAGCAATAACAGACTTATTGGAAACTCCAGAAATCATACTTTCCGGAGAAAAAAGAAAGATCATGATAAAAACAATTTTAATTTAAATCACAACTCAGTTGATTCACACAATTTTAATTTAAGCAGTGATGGCTTATAGTCCTAATCCGAACAATTAAAAAAGGAAAATTAGACCTAAGGGCATGTCTTCTACCCCAAACAAATAAAAAAATATCCAATGCATTTATACGGGAAATTATAGAACATGTCATATTAATGTCCAAGAAAACTCTAGAAATAAGAAGTGGCACTGCGAAAAAACAGGCCCAAATTAAAATATTAGAAAAATGAGGTGACGGCCTACAGTATTGTCGAGAATTTTCACAATCACATATTAATGACTCGCCGCACTTGATAAAATCATGTCTCAACTATTTATGATCGAAAAATTAAAGCAAATTAGATAAAGATAACTAGCAAAAAAAATTAAAATCAAATGCATAAATTCAAAATAAGCCAAAATCAAATGCATAATCAAACGCCCAGGTACACCCCATATCTCTCTATCTCTCTCTCTCACGACAACACATACACACACAGTCAAACCCATAAATCCTTGAGTATCCATGTTTCATAGATTAGCGGTCTAGTGGATAGTCAGAGAAAAAACAAAGTTGCTGCCAAAGATGAAAAACAGAGGGAAAAAAGGGTATTGCTGGGAAAAACAGAAGCATCGCAAAACATATGGCTGAAGCGGACGCANCATGACAACACATACACACACAGTCAAAACCATAAATCCTTGAGTATCCATGTTTCATAGATTAGCGGTCTAGTGGATAGTCAGAGAAAAAACAAAGTTGCTGCCAAAGATGAAAAACAGAGGGAAAAAAGGGTATTGCTGGGAAAAACAGAAGCATCGCAAAACATATGGCTGAAGCGGACGCAGCTCCATTGGCTTTGAAGGCTGATGTACTGAATTTCTTATCAATTAAAAAAAAAATCTGGGCATTGATATGTGATTTATGAAAGCAGATTTTTCAGCTATTGTTTTATGCTTCATTTTGGTTCTACTTTGTGTTTTTGGTGAGGTTATTGCTCCTTTATAGCCAAAAGATAGCTTGGGAAAATAATTGATCGTTAAGTCGATATCTGATTTTATACAATTAATTGACAAAAATTTGATATTATAATTGTTGTAAGGAATACTTACTTACAAAATGTTGGTACCCAATAATACTTACTTAACTATCACTCAAATACATAATCCAAGTACCCGATGTACAAACGAAGCCAGTTTGTTATCTAACTTAAGGACTTAATTGATCATTGCTTCAAATTCCCAAATTCAATTCTAATAAGCGGGGATGCAAATAACTCATTCATAAGCATTTTGATGTATGTTCACACCTTGTTCACACTGTTCAAGGAATGGTAGGATCAAAGCTCCTACACTCCATTGAAGATTTCTGTACACCATCACAGAAAAAAAACCTTAAAGGACACCCAATCTAAATGTAACCGGAACCAACGTCTTGAATGCGTATTGGATCGGTATCATGCCCGAGAACGTGTTGTTCTCCAAGGACAAAGCTGACAATTTGGGCATGAAACCCATGAACCCAGGTGAGTGAAGAGACCCGATGGGACTAACCCACTAAGGTCCACCACCTTCTGTCCTTAGAGAACTTTCTTCCATTAAAGTTCAAAAACCTCACTGTGTGTGCTGCTGAAAACCCCCATGTTTATGTGCAATGTCATGAAAACCCCCATCAAATTGCTCTTAGCCTGAAAACCCCCATGTTTATGCGCAATGTCATGAAAACCCCCATGTTTCAAAAGTCGGTCATTGGTGAAAGGGATTCGTGTGTGTGAATGTGAATGGTGTGTGTGTTGCTGAGCGATTGGAGAGAGAGAGAGAGAGGGGGGGGGAGAGGGAAGTACTTGGGCTGAGCTGTCGCTGGTCGTCGCTGGTGTGTGTGCTGCCCCTGAGAACGTTGGTGTGAATGATGTGTGCTACCGCTGAGCCATGGCAGATGAGTGAGAAGGGTCTGGGTAACGGTGTAAGGGTAGCGTGTAAGGGTACCGCTGTGTTGAGCCATGAGCCATGGCAGAGGAGGTGACTGGTGAACAGTGCAAAGGTGGGTAGCGTGTAGGGGTTTGTTTCATTTGGGCGGGATTTATTTTTTATTTGAGATGAAATGTGGACCATTGGATCCAATCGGAAGAATTGAGATGAAATTTAGGCCTTTGAATTAAAATTAGATTTAATCTGAACCGTTCTTGTGCTTTCCCAAATGAATTGAAATTGAATTAAATTTTTAAATAGAAAAAAATTCAAATTGACTTCTATCTTATTATTATAGATAACCTTTTGACATAATTAGAATATGATGACAAATTTAGATGGCATTTGGAGTGGCTATCCCATAAGTAGAATATATGTTACTGCATTAGTGGTGTTTCATCTCCAATTTCTCCCGTAGGTATAATGTACCCTTCTATAAAAAAATCCACTTGCTTCCACTTTTATGTTAGGTTAGGATTGCTACAAGATTCCTTTAGTTTTTTCCATTTCACGCATGTAGATGTAGAGACAAGTCTTTCTTGCGCCTTTGGTGCATTAAGGAGTGATTCCTTAACCATAGGTCAATGGTCTAAAAATTGGTATGCATACAAATCACAAATAGATATGAGGGACTTAGAGGTAGAGAAGTGGGAGATGGAGGAGAATATTATGCCAGGGTGGCTCAAGCAAATTTGAGATTTAAAGCAAGAACACTAATTTAGGGCCTTTTTTTATTTTTAATATTTATTTGAGATAGAGAAAGAAGAAGGGCGTGCTTGTGTTGCCGAGCAAAATGTTTTAACTTTTGTTTTGTTTTTTACCGGAGATAGTGTGTTTAATTTTAACTTTTTTTTTAAAATTTTTTTTACTTATTTTTACACAGAGAGAGAGAGAGAGAGAGAGAGAGAGAGAGAGAGGGGGAGGGGTAGGAGTAAATATGAGTTGACTTTTGAGTACTTTTTATTTATTTATTTTTTAGGTTTCTAATGTTATGAATTNGAGGGGTAGGAGTAAATATGAGTTGACTTTTGAGTACTTTTTATTTATTTATTTTTTAGGTTTCTAATGTTATGAATTGGATCATGGATCCAAATTATTACAATAAAAATTAATGTACTCAAAATTATGAGGCCTTGTAAAACTTTGGGGCCTAAAGCCCAAGCTTTTTTTTTTTAGCGCTGTTGAGCTGCCTTAGTATCATGCAATAGATTATTTACATAGAGGAGCTCGAAAAGATATTGGTCCATTGACTGGTGGCCTTTACCCTTGCAAAGGAGTATCCCCAACTTATAAGCATAAGCAACTAGGCCTAGCTTTCATGAAGAAGTGGAAAATGTGTTAAGTTTTATGTCAAAATGAAGTTTGAGATGAAGAATCTTTGAGAATTATTGGCAAGAGTGCACTCATGATGGTCGTTCGTAATAGAGTCTTAGAGGTAAGACTTCTATGCATGTCTTCCTGGCCTTCAAATTTCCAGTCCTTTTACCTTCATGGCAATTGGCAAATATGTGGCATTAGGTCACTTGTTTTTCTCTATTTTGCATGTTGTCTCCTATGTTTCTTTATATATGTAGTATACCTTTAGAAATATAGGTAATTGACAAAATTATTTGCTTGATTTGGCAATTCATTCAGGAAACATCAATAGAGTTGGTGATTATAGGTGAAGATGGAGTTGTGCAATCCATCTGCGAGCAGCCTGTATTTGGCACAATAAAAGATCTTGCTATACTTCCATGGAATGAGAGATTTCATGCACGAAGCCCGCAGGTAGGTTTGTGCATTTGCTTTCCAAGAACTCTTTTTTTTCCCTAGAATTTTCGGTCAAATTCATTCTATTTTCTTAGAGAATTTAATTGCAACAAACAATAAGTGATTTATTGTATCAGATATAGTTACAAAATTGTTGTAAATGGTACTCCTTTCTTTTTTCCTTTTACAGATGCTAGGTAGAGACATTTTGGTTGTTATTTCTGATTCAGGAAAGTGCTCGTTCCTCACATTCTGCAATGAAATGCACAGGTTTTCCATATTTACCTTCTCTATCCACTAAATTCTCTAAATGAAAGTAATGAGTTCTGTTACCAATTCTTTTGTCAATATTGGATGCATAGCTTTCCAATGAAAACTTATTTTTATTTGTATTTGTATGGATGTCATAGGTTTTTCCCACTGACCCACATTCAACTTTCTGCCCCCGGAAACTCCAGGCATCAAGTCGGAAGGATGCTGGCTGTTGATTCTTAGTATGTTGCTTTTTCAGGTTTAAAAATATTGATGTAGATTTGTTAATATATGAGTTGCTTAGGTTACAACGTAGAGCTTTAGAATGTTTATTGATATGGTTACATACTTGCATTCTTGCTTTGATCTATGCAGTGGCTCTTTTATTGCTGTTAGTGCATATGAGGGTAGATTGGCGTTGTTCTCAGTTTCATTATCTGCCGGTAGTGATATCATTGATAAGGTTAAGTTTCTTCACTTTAAAAGTTATTGATTTAGTATCACTTTAAAATCTGTGTGTGATTGTACTTGTTTTAAAGTGGTAGTTCAAGTTATTAACGTGCTTATGCATGCTACGATTTCAGAAAATATTTTATCCTTCTGAAATTGAAGGGGACACATGTACTGCAAGAGGTGTCACAAGTATCTGTGGTACCATATGGAGCATGTGCTTTATTTCAAAATATTCCATTCAACCAAGTAAGGAGCATAGTCCTGTATTAGCCATTCTTCTGAATAGGTACGATCTTACATTATGTCTGTGCTGAGAATTTGCAATTATTTGTTTTCCCTTTGTCCCCAAATGAACGAAGGAGGGAAACTGTTTTTTGTCTCTTATTTGCTATGTTGTTAGATCTTATGATGAATTCTATTTGAATGATTAAGAGGTTGTAGTCTGGTGTTGCAGGAGGGTATCATTCCGGAATGAGCTTCTTTTATTGGAATGGAATACTAGGGAAAATGCTGTGCATATAATTTCTCAATATGCTGAAGCTGGACCCCTAGCACTCAACATAGTTGAAGTTCCTAGTTCTTATGGATTTGCCTTACTATTTAGGGTTGGTGATGTGCTACTGATGGATCTTAGGGATGCTCACAACCCTTCTTGTGTCTACAGAATAAGCTTAAATTTCTCACCCTATCAAGTGGAGGTGCAGGAAAATGTTATTGACACAACAAGGATGTTTGATGGCGATGAAGAAGGAATATTTAGTGTTGCTGCCTCTGCTTTACTGGAGTTGAGTGACATAAATAAAGATGACGATCCAATGAATATAGATGGTAATAGTATCAATTTTAAATATTCCTCGAATTATGTGTGCTCATGGAGTTGGGAACCAGGAAATGAAAACAGTCCAAGGATGATTTTCTCTGCAGATACTGGTGAAATTTTTTTGATTGAAATTTTATCTGATCCAGATGGCCCCAAAATAAATCTATCTGAGTGTCTATATAAATGTCTTCCGTGCAAGACAATTTTGTGGGTTGAAGGTGGATTTTTAGCTGCACTTATAGAGATGGGAGATGGGATGATCTTGAAACTTGAAGAGGGGATGCTACTTTACAGAAGTCCTATCCAAAACATTGCACCAATCTTGGATATGTCAGTTGTAGATTGCCATGATGAGAAGCATGATCAAATGTTTGCATGCTGTGGGATGGCACCAGAGGGATCATTAAGGATTATTCGAAGTGGTATCAGTGTGGAGAAGCTGTTGAAAACTGCCCATATATATCAAGGCATAACTGGGAGTTGGACAGTTAAGATGAAAGTGATGGATTCTTATCATTCATTTCTTGTGCTATCATTTGTTGAAGAGTCTAGAGTGCTCTCAGTTGGTGTGAGCTTTAGTGATGTGACTGATGCTGCTGGCTTCCAGCCTGATGTCTGTACTTTGGCATGTGGTATTGTGGGTGATGGTTTGCTGGTCCAGATCCACCAAAATGCAGTTAGGCTTTGTTTGCCCACAACAGTTGCCCATCCTGAAGGTATTCCTTTGTCGTCTCCAATTTGCACATCGTGGTGTCCTGATAACATGAGTATCAGTCTGGGAGCAGTTGGACAAAATTTGATTCTTGTTGCTACTTCCAGTCCATGCTTCTTATTTGTTCTTGGGGTCAGACTTCTATCAGCTTTCCAGTATGAAATATATCCAATGCAACATGTAAGATTGCAGAATGAATTATCCTGCATTTCTATTCCTCAAAAATGTTTTGAGCAAAAACCATTGAGTTCTCATTTTAATTCCTCAGATAGTGGCCTTATGGCTTCCCTTCCAGTTGGAGTTGATTTAGGAAATACCTTTGTTGTTGGGACACATAAGCCTTCAGTGGAGGTTCTGTCTTTTGTTCATGATAAAGGCCTAAAAGTACTTGCTATAGGGGCCATTTCATTAACAAACACTATGGGAACCACTATTAGTGGATGTGTTCCTCAAGATGTTAGACTTGTGCTAGTTGATCGACTCTATATTCTTTCGGGATTGAGGAATGGAATGCTACTTCGCTTTGAGTGGCCTTTTGCCTCTGCAATGTCCTCATTAGATTCACCCACTCAGAAGGCTTATATTGGTTCCTCGTTGATGAATTCCTTGCCTTCATCTAACTCTTATCCGAATTATGCTGTCCCAACCATATGTGGGCCTAATATATCTGCAAAGATGAAGGACTGTGCTCCTGTTAATCTTCAACTGATTGCAATCCGACGCATAGGCATTACTCCTGTTTTCCTGGTTCCATTGAGTGATTCGCTTGATGCAGATATAATTGCTCTCAGTGATAGGCCTTGGTTATTACAGACTGCAAGGCACAGCCTCTCATATACATCTATCTCATTTCAACCGTCCACACATGCAACTCCAGTATGTTCGGTCGAATGTCCTAAGGGAATTTTATTTGTTGCAGAGAACAGTCTCCATTTGGTAAGATCGTCTATGGTGTTGTCCATTTGGATTTCATTCTGTCGACAGTACCCTTTTACTTCCTCAAACTGGTGTTATTGGGTTTTGGGTTCTATAAATTGTATGAAACCACTCTGCATAAAAGCATTGATAAATTTAGATAATGTTTTCTGTTACTTCAGTGACAATTCTCTTGTTTTGACGATGGTATGTACTTATACTATTATTGGACCTTGTTTTATGAATGCTATCCTTTTTATTCATGATGGAGTGATTTTTTTGTCCTTTTTCTTTTTTAAATATCGGTATTATCTGCCTGTGGAGTTATAGCTGTAGAGGATTGAAATGGTGGAGTGTAGAAGAACAATATCAATTGGATAGTGATCAAACTGAAAACAATGACAATAAGACATTAGTAATAATCAAATGGACATTGAAATGGCTTGCAGCTATTTTTGGTACAATTGTTGGTTTGTGCAGTTAACTGGGGTTACTAGTTCAGTGGTTAGAATTTTGTCAAATAACTTGACATTGTGGGGTTGCAGGGCAGCCAATTTGTGCAAATAACACCGACATTTGGTCTGCGCACTGTCAGTGCCTAGTCTACCCTCCCAGATTGCCATTAATGGGGGACTAAATTGCGTGCTATGCTTTATTTTTGTTTGTTTGTGCAGTTCAATAGGTGATTTGAAAGTATGCTGCTGTATTCAGAGTGAATGCCAGATAGGGTTTTTGTGTTTTCTGATTGGCATGTTTCAAATAGTGCATGAGAACTGCAAAGTGTATTCTGTCTGTCATCGATGGTGCCTTGCCAGTATGTAATTTTTTTATGGTAAAAGTTATGCTTCAGCTCTTGTTGTTAAAAACATAAAAGTTGGACTTAATATAGAATTAGATGGATCTTTCAGTAGCTCAGAACTACTTTTTTTTCGATTAAGTTGTCATCTNAAGTTGGACTTAATATAGAATTAGATGGATCTTTCAGTAGCTCAGAACTACTTTTTTTTCGATTAAGTTGTCATCTCGATGAAATCAATTGTCATGGAACCTTCTCAGTCCAATTGCAGGCAATGGTTTAAGCTGTAATCATTTTCTTTTACAGCTTCCAGTTTGACATTCTATTGATGAATTTATTGAATTGAATTCTTCATGAGATGGTTGCCAGTGTCATTGTTTGTTTCTTGTTGTTTGGCGTAATGTTGGGAAACAATGGCTTCTGATAAATACATCCAGCAATAGGGGTCTTTACATTTTTTATCAAAGATATTTTGATTAAATTGCAATCCTATTATTCGTATTATAATAATATGATATTATTGCATACCATAAAATCAGATATGACATATATTAAACCGTAGAATCTAATCCAATAACTTCATGTATATAATAATAGAATATATATTGGACTTTTTTTATGAATATAAATATAGGCCTAGATATAGAAAATTGAATGCAACTGTACTACAAATAAATGAGCCTAGAAGAATTTAAAAGTCAAATAGTTATAGGAATTAAAAATTGGATGAAAGTAATAAAGATTTTAGAAGTCCAATACTGTTGATAAAAGAGTCCAAAAGAACTTAGAAGTTAGATAAGTGTAGGAAATAAAAATTGGATGAATTTAATATGTGGATATCATTGATTGATTTTATAATAATAATTAAGGATAAAATAGAAAATCAAAAAATTTTCACATATGCTAATATTTATAAGTAGTATAGATATATATCAATGTAAAGTATATGTTGTCAAAGTAAAGTCACAAAGCACAAAACCCAAAAGAAAAAAAATGACTTCTCCTACATATCTCGCCAAATAATGCCACTTTGTGTGAATAAGGTCGAAAGTGTGCTCTGTACCAGATCCACTTCTTCCTGTATACTTGGGTATTGGGGACCAAACTGGAGCATAACCTTTTATTGAGTCACTGTCACATCTTGTGAAATTCCAATTTGTCCAACTTGTTTTTTTAGATATTTGAGAGTACAATTGATAAATGGTTTAATGCTTTTATGTCCAACTTGGGTGTACTATTACTACTCTTCCAAGAAAAATGATCATGATTGGTGATGCTGTAGGTGGAGATGGTACACACTAAGAGGCTTAATGTGCAGAAATTTCACCTTGGAGGCACCCCGCGGAAGGTTTTATATCACACTGAAAGCAGGTTGTTGCTTGTCATGAGGACTGAACTGAGTAGTGAGTCATATTCCTCTGATATCTGTTTTGTAGATCCTCTCAGTGGGTCGGTTGTTTCATCTTTTAAACTTGATCCTGGGGAAACGGGTAAATGCATGGAGTTGGTCAGGGTTGGAAATGAACTAGTTTTGGTGGTTGGAACAAGTCTCTCTACTGGCCCAGCTGTAATGGCCAGTGGTGAAGCTGAAAGGTTAGTCATCATCTTATATTGAACTTTTGCCTTTTCAGAACTTTAACAAACTGTTCCGTTATCAATATTATAGGTGTCACACTTATATTATGTTTTGCACCTTGTATGCAATTCATAATTGCTTAAATTGTAATAGCCTAAACTTTAAATCCTTGTCTGGGGAATTCAGAAGTTGATGGAAATGACTTATGGGTTTCTGCTTAAATGAATAGTAGGAATGTGGTTGCGAATTGTTATCTGTTTCAGTACTTGATCTGTATCTAGTTAGTTTAGTTTGACTATTGGTTCCTCGTTTAATGTTCTTGCATGAGCTTGTATAGCTTTATAATTTATACCATGTATTTGTGTATGTTTTCCAACTGATTTTGCTTTCAACAGCACCAGGGGCCGTCTGATAGTCCTCTGCCTTGACCATTTGCAAGTTTCAGATAGTGGTTCTATTGCAGTTAGTTCAAAGGCTGGTTCATCTTCTCAACAAACTTCTCCTTTTCGTGAAATTATTGGGTATTCAGCAGAACAGCTATCAGGCAGTAGTATTTGCAGCAGCCCAGATGATAATAGCTGTGATGGAGTCAAGCTTGAAGAAACTGAAGCTTGGCATCTGCGATCAGCGTACTCGACTATCTGGCCTGGAATGGTACTTGCTGTCTGTCCTTATCTTGACCACTATTTCTTGGCTTCTGCTGGTAATGCTGTAAGTTGCAAAATTCTTTTATGTTTTGTGATAAATTTCCGAACTAGACATGGTTATAACTTTGCCGTTGCTTATGAAGACTGTTTGTCTTGTCTCAGTTTTATGTCTGTGGTTTTCCAAATGATAATTCTCAACGAGTGAGAAGATTGGCTGTAGGAAGAACACGCTTCATGATAATGACTTTGACTGCACATTTTACCAGAATAGCCGTTGGCGATTGCCGAGATGGGATCCTTTTCTATTCATATCATGAGGTAATAGTCAATCTTCTATTTCTTTTAGCAGGGTTATTGTTGCGCAGGTTAGCCTTGAATATTTTAATTTGCTTGGGTATGCCTATAATGATTTTTCGAGCTTATTAGTAAAGAATAAGAATTTAATAGTAGTTTGAGAGATGTATCAGTTCCAGTTGATGGAATTGAGGTTTGTGTCCTGATAACTGACCTGTACTTGTCCACCCTGCTTTATATGTACCAGGAAGCCAAGAAACTGGAGCAACTTTACTGTGACCCTGTTCAGAGGTTAGTTGCTGATTGCATGCTTATGGATGTCGATACTGCTGTTGTTTCGGATCGTAAAGGGGGTATTGCTGTCTTGTCATGTTCAAATCATTTAGAAGGCAAGTATTTTGACATAAGCAATGTGCTATTACTAAATATTTGTTTGTTAAAATTTTTCCCTTATACTAGATGCTATTATGGTATAAATAAATCTTTACGGAACATTCCATCCAAGCCATATTACTATCAGACCATGTTATTTGCTAGTGCTTCTCTCCTTAAGGTTCATCCCTACTGTGAAGCATCAATGCATAATAATGATTAGTCTTACTATAGAGACTATTATTTTATTCTGGGATTTAAGGCTTTCATGAGGATGAGTTCTTTTTGGCGGAATTTTAAGATGAAACATATAGCTGTATGGTGATGTTTGTGGAGTAGAGTAGTTGTGCTATGTCATTGTATATCTACCACATTGAGAAGGTTGAAGTGCATATTTGACAATGAAGAACTTGGGATTTGATGAGTTATATAGGGACTGAAGTTGAAATACCTTTCAATGTATTTCCTCTTTGTTGTGACAGTAGTGGTAATGTTGACTTGGAAGAAGAAAAAAGGGACAGCTATAGCTTGCAAGCGAGTAATCCCTGAAAGTTTTTTGTTTAGCTGAAGCATGTTATGATTGAACTATGATAAAGCATTTCCGTGCTAAGTCGGCTACTTTCTATCCTAATATGTTTGGCAGGATATAAAATCTTTATGGTTAACCGACTTGGGTGTGAAGGCCTTGTATGACATTTTTCAGAGCATGATTTTTTATTTCATTTTCGTCCTATTTATTTCCCTCATTTTGATTATTTTATGCATTATGTTACTTTTTCCTTATAAAATTCTTTAATAAATAACAGATAATGCAAGTCCGGAATGCAACTTGTCGTTGAGTTGTTCATATTACATGGGTGAGATAGCCATGAGCATCAGGAAGGCAAGTGCTCTTACCCGTTGGCTTCAACTGCTCATAACATTGTCATGTATCACCTTGACTTGAAGCTTTCATTAACTTTTGGATCTCGTAATGCCTTTATTTATTTCTTAAATAGCATATATGCTAACATTTTCTGTTATGTGATGCCATATGCTTGGTGGGTCACACTCCTTTCCATTTGTCAGATTATATTTCCATCGCATGGAGTACCTATATGTAATGCTTCTCGCAGGTTATAATATATGCAACAAGTGATAGAATTGGAATTGGTAGATATAGATACCAATATTTAGATTGGTTGTTTACAAGTTTGTTATGGGAAAAAGTTTTGATTGGAGTTTTAAATGTTTATAGAGCAGAAGGGTTACTATTTAGAGGATAAGTGGTAACTGGAGAGGTTTCACATAATTGCCTTATACACAATGAAGCCAGATAGATGGATGAACAAATCATATAGCTATATTGTAGTCATATGGATTCAGATTGTTGGGGTCGTCTCATTGCTGTTATTCTTAGTTTTTCTGTTATTGGGGTCATCACTTCTTTTGTGAACTTCATGTTTGAGTTCGTGAACAACGAATTTTTTTTTTTGGGGACGCATAAGCATGGTTAAGTGTTGGGGTTTCTTGTAGTGTGTGAGAAAATTTGGCTAATTTGACTTCGTCTTATTCCTTAATGGTGGGTGCACAACTTTAAATCCATCTCTTTTGCTGCCCTTTTTTGATTCACATTTCTCTTTTTTTCGTTCTGATTGCTGATACAATCCAAATTATCTTTCCACTACCATTAGTTGGGAGTGTTCAACAGTTTGGGAGTTTGTCTACATCTAGTTGTCACTTGTATCTTAGAAAAAAATGGTTGTTTGAAGGAAAATGAGAGTGGAAACACTTTGGGAGGTGTATGGCTGATGAGAATAGTTAGCGGGGATAACTTGATTAATTGGATACTAGATACTAAATTTGTGCCTGATGATGAAGGATAAAACCTTTTGGGGCTTATATTAGGTTGAATTAATATTTGCAGTGTGCTTTACGTTTGGATAAGGAGTGTCTTTTGAGTATCAAGGTACACCGTACACAAATTAAAGAAAACCATATGCTGTGCGTGCTTGGAATTTCGACAATTGAAGCTCTTACTTGCCTAGGCTTTAGGATAAAGAGAGATCCCGTATTCTATTTCTATACATTGAATAAGTGTTCATAGCGTAGACCACAAATGGCTTAGGAAGAAGGAAGTTCAAAATAGAGTGAATTTTATGGATTGTTACAGGAAAAAAAGAGTGTCTGACTAATTTTTTAGTAGGATTTATCTACACTTGCCTCAAAAGTATTTTATTTAGAGTTACATAGATTTTATTTCATTTATTTATTTACTTATTTTCGAAAAGGTTGAGAACTTCAGTTTATATTTTTTGCTACGGAAGCTTGGATGAGCCCACATCTACTGTGGGAAACATATTTGAAAATGCCATTGGGTCATCCCACGGCCTTGGAGATCATCATATTTTGTATTGTCTATTAACATAAAGAAAGTATTTTTGGTTACTCTAGATTTCTTGCATGGGCTGTGCCAGTCGTCCATGTATGTTGTTTATGGTCTGGTGTTATTATATGTATATATGGTCTTTGCTAGGTTTATGTAGTCTTGCTAAATTGGAATTCTTGGCTTTTAAACCTGAAAAAATAGGATTAGTAGTCAAAAGAGATCATTAGAGGATAATCCCAGGAACTTTTAATCTGTCATTAGTTATTTAGGGAAGGTATTTTCAAAAAAATGTGGCCAAGAGTGGGCCAGGATAAAAGGTTATTTTGTCTTGCATGCACACATAAATGTTCTAAGTCATGTGCAGTGCTTTATTTCTGGAGTTGGTCGTCAGTTGTTTTTGTATTATTCAGAGTTGCTTTCTCAGAATGTTTCATCAGTATTTACTTATTTACTTTATCGCTGAAACTTCTTTGGACTGTGTTCCATATGGCACAGGAGGAGGTTATTTTTACTGTTATTTCCAAAATCAGTGATATGCGTGATTCTATTGTAGGGGTTATTCTCTTACAAGCTTCCAGCGGATGATGTTTTGAGGGACTCTAATGTAGCTAGTACAATTACTGACTTGTCGCACAATAGTGTCATGGCCAGTACGCTTTTAGGAAGCATAATAATCTTCATCCCTTTTGTAAGGTAAATAATGTTTTGTATGATGAGCTGTATGGTTGTATTTTCTCTTTGTTGAATGATGGTTGCTCTCAGCTATATGAATTGACAGCAACTGGTGATGTCTCCTCAGTATCCCCATGCCTTTCACTTCATTTTGGTTTTTGAACTTTTCCATGAAATGGTCCAGCGATTAATTTCAGGAAAGAATGATGTTCACTACTGTACAGGAGAAAAGCTAAGTGTTATGCATTTGGCTTAATGAAACTGTCAAAGTTGAACAAATAGGAATTAAATTGGAAGATGATTGCTGTGTCGAGCTACATTTTAAAATTACCCACTAAGCAGGGAAGCTTCATTTTCTGATCAATAAGTGATCGATAACCAAGAGATTGCCCATAATTTTGCATTAATCACTTGTTTTCCCTTGCTTATATCCCGTATCTATGATGTGAGACTAAATCGAATATAACTTAAGACATTGCTCAATTCATGACATCCGGGAGCTAAGATTTGAGATCCATTATCCTATTCTGTCTGCAGTAACTGGCTCTGGTTTTGAGGTATTATGTTTACTTATTACTGATGAGGAGTTGTTTATCATCCAAAAATTACTCTAACAGGGCTTGAAGATTTCATTGTGTCAGTATGGGTGATATTTTCCTTCTGTTCAGGATCTATTATTAACAATTGATTTATTCATTTGGGATATAAACACTGGGTTATTTGACTAGACTTGATAAATTTAATGTTGTTGCAGGGAGGAATATGAACTATTGGAAACAGTACAAGCTAGACTTGTGGTTCACCCACTGACTGCTCCTATCCTGGGAAATGATCATAATGAGTTTCGCAGCCGTGAAAGTTCGGTAGGTCGAAAAGTTGTTCATTGTGAACTCTTGTGTTACGTGGGTGCATTGATGAATAGAAATTTGGATGCTGCATTTAAAATATATCATAGTTTTCATTATCTTAACAAGAAAATGTGGATTAGTAGGACTGTATTAGCAGAGGTCTCTTGGTATGTTTCAAGAGATGTGAAGTTTCGGTGCAAACAGGTAGAGCGTACGACAGATTTGACAAAAAATTGAATATGATGTATGTATGTAAAATTGATACTATCGGATTTCATCTGTATGTATGATCCACGATGTGCCGATCACGGTAGCAGTGAGAGTGCTGGGTTTTCCTTTGGTGGTGAGTGTTGTACCGCCTAGTTTCTCTTTGTTTGTTAAAGGTAACAGTTACCCTGGTCCAGATATTATCTCCCATTAAAAGAACAAGGAAAATATCCCATCAGAAAATGGATGGGTTGTGGGGAGGGGAAGAAAAAATGCGATATGTATACTATTGTCTGCCTTGGGAATGCAGTTTTTTATCTTTTTTAGAATTGCATCACATAGAAGCCAAAACATTATGCTAACTTTGTTATTCTTCTCTCTCTCTCATTGCTAGTCTTGTTTCTCTGAGTGTGTGTTTTTTTGTTTTATTTAATTGTCAGGCTGGGGCACCTAAGATACTTGATGGCGATATGCTAGCTCAATTTTTGGACCTTACAAGTATGCAGCAAGAGGCTGTGTTAGCACTACCTCTTGGCTCGCCAAAGACAGTAATGTTGAGTTCAAAACCATCCCCTTCACCGATTACTGTTAATCAGGTTGTGCGGCTCCTTGAACGAGTTCATTACGCCCTAAACTGAATCTCTCCTTTGTCTTTCTCCATGCCATGGCTGCTGAGCTGTGAAATTGTTTTGTGAGCCCTTGAGAAAATCAAATGGTCAAATTGAAGGGGAAGAGCAGCACAATATTTTCGATCAGCACAATTTGTTAGCCATCTAAGTATCTGAATGAACTACGCTCTGAACGATGTTGGCTCAACATATGTTGTAAACAGATTTGGTTGCAAGGATGGGGTTCAACAACCATACAGATGGAAATCCCCTGACGTTTAGGTTCATTATGCTCGCTGTCTTGGGGCTACAGCGCCACAGCAACTCGGAGAATGTACCTGTCTATAACTCGGCCTGTTTATCTCGCAGCCTTCGATATACTGTTAAAAACTCAAAAATCATTTCGTAGAAAATTCATTGTAATTATTTGTTCTGGCCTTTTCTATTTGTGCCCCATTTTGCTTACCCCGGGGTTTTTTGTAATACTTCTTCCTTCCAGGGCAAATGAGTATTTACCTACCAGAATGGAGCTTTTTATTTTCCCTGTATTCTTCTTTGTTTATTGCTGTATTAGTCATGACTCATGAGTTCAACTGCTTATATGTAAAGGCTTGGTCTCTGATAGGTATTGTATTATAGCCGTGGTTTCCATTTCTGTCCTTACTCAGTCTCCAACTTACACTGTTTTCTAAATTACATTTCTTCTTTTGTTCTTCAACTTGTTATACATTGGTGGGGGACTAGGGCTGGTAAAAGGTTGGGTTCGTGATGTGTCAAAATTTGTTGATACTCAACCTTATTTATAATCATGTATAGTTCGGGTCTTGTCAAGTTGTTAATACATATAAATCGTGTTTAGTAGGGGGTTTGTTGTTATGGTTACTAGGTTCGTGTCAATTCACTGGTCTTATGGGTTCCGTGCCAAGTCAAATTTGATAATTTCATGTCAATTTTATATTTGGCTTGCAGGTCATGTTTGTAACTAGACCTGGCAATCGTATGACGTGAGGCGGATTTGTAGCAAAAATTGTTCTACTCATATCTGATTTATTTATTAATTATTGTCTAATAAATTATGTTATATCAAGTTCGTGTTATGTATGAATTGTGTATAACTTAAATATAAATGAGTTGTGTTGTGTATTTTTTTTGGATTAATTTTATTTATAGGTGATTCGTTTATTAATCGTGTCATTTTAAATTCATTCATTTATCAAACAGTTGGTTTAAAAAAGATTCAAATTAAAATTGGAAACCGGGCTACCCCCTGGAGTCTTAGCGGGTTGGGCTATAGGCTCTTTGAGGGGCCTGAGTCTATATTCAATCTCATTAAAGGTTACTCGAAACGTTCCCCTCCTACGTGAAAGTACATTTGCTTGAATTTGACTGATCTGGATTTGAAGCAACAGCATGAATGAAGCCTAAAACGTGTTCAATATGAAACGGTTTGACAACAGCTTGGGCTCGGGCTTAACCCAACACCTTACGGCACAAGCTGACGGCAGTCTGCATTCCCAAAGCACTATAACTATACAAAAGAAAAAGATCTTGTTTTTTTTTTTTTTTTTGGTAATTCCTATGATGCGATTGAAGCTTATTAGTTATTCGTGGCTCCGGTGACGACTAGATCAACACATTATTGCTTCTTGATTTACGCACTCGGTGGTAATTAAAACTTATCTTCGTATTGTCCATGAACACGCTACAATTAGAAGACAAAATAACTAGAAATGTTGAAACGAATCACTTTCTTGCAACAATAAAAAAAAAATCCATAAAGTTGAGCAGAGGTGTCACAAGCATTTTTTTTGGTGATCACAAGCATGTTCTTTCTTGAGCAAGACAACCCTATTTATGATAAATTAGGGGTAATTCGTGCTTAAGAGTATAGTACGATGTAAGTGAAAAGTGAGAAGTGATAAATTTTGAGGACGGAAAAAATTCAATGTGAATAGTTTTGAGAAAAATATTAATGGTCGAGTCTGTTTGAGACCGTCAAATGACCTTATTGAAGTTTATCCTATTTTATATTATAGGTACCTAAAAAATCGATCTGAAAATGTATTTATTGATTAGGTGAATTGCACTTTGTACCATGAAATAGTTTAAATTTTTTATTTTGTATATTTAAAGATTAAATTTTTCATATTGTTCCCTTAATGTATATCACCCTTCTGTTAACTTTCCGTAAATTTTTTTATCTGTGTCAATGGGTTGGTTTTTGATAAAAAAAAAAATTAACAAAAGTTGACAAAATGATCACATTACAACACTTTTGATAAATTGAGGGTATAATGTAGAAAATTTAATTTTTAAGCCTATAAAATGAGAATTTTAAAATCTTTTAGGGCGCAAAGAGCAAAAAAAGTGATAAAAATAGTTAATACAGAAGTGGTAAAAATAATCACAGCAGTGATAAAAATATCTACAAAAATGATAAAAGTAATAAATTTTTTAATCGTACAATGACCCATAAAAATAATAAAAAATATTCATTAAAATAATAAATTTTACCATATGACATTTTTTTTTTATATCGTAGTCAATCCCGACAGATTATGCGTAAATAATATTATTGAAATATTAAATGTGGTTGGTTTGAGAAGGCACAACCATTCAATTAAAAAAGATGGCAGTTGGTAGAGTTTAATACCTATGAAACGTAACACCATACAGTTGCATGAGCCTGGTAGATTTTAATGGCTCAGACATTTTATTATGTCGCAAACATGGCCGGCTTCAACGGTAGCCGAAAAAGCACGGGCTTAGGGTATAACCAAAAATGTTAATTGTACCGGAGGTCTTTAAAATATAAAATTTGTTTTATTTTGGTGTTTAATGTTTTAATTGTATCATTTTAGTCCCTAAAATATTGAATATATTTTTATATGGTCCCTTGAGCAGACAATGTCCAAATTATTAATAATTTTTTAACACAAACTTGTCACATGATACTTAAATGTGGACAAAAAAATAATTTGAATAACTCTTGATCAAATTTTTAATTAAATTTTGGTTAAATACCTATTTTTAAATTACACAGTTTTGATCATGAATTATTCAAATTTTAGTCAAAAGTTACCCATATTACACATTTTTTTTTCAAGAGTTACCCAAATTTTATTTAAGAGTTATCAAAATTATTTTTTTGTCCATATTTAGCTATTACGTGATAAGTTTACGGTAAAAAATTGTTAGCANAGTCAAAAGTTACCCATATTACACACTTTTTTTTCAAGAGTTACCCAAATTTTATTTAAGAGTTATCAAAATTATTTTTTTGTCCATATTTAGCTATTACGTGATAAGTTTACGGTAAAAAATTGTTAGCAATTTGGATGTTATCTGCTTGAAGGACCATATAAAAACATATTCAATACTTTAGGGACTAAAATGATGCAATTGAAACATTGAGGACTAAAAATGAGACAAACCTCATACTTTAGGGACCTCTAGTGCAATTACCCCTAAAAAATCCAAAATTTTAGAATTTAATAAAGAAGTATCGATCAAAGATTAAAATTCATTATAATTTAGCTTAACAATTTTTTTTTTTAAAGATTAAATCAATAAAATAAAATTTAAAATTTAATTCCAAAAGTGCAATCCACCTCACACGTACACATTTATTAAAGGATAGAAAAAAGGTTAACGCTTTGATAAAAAAATATAATAATAAACATATCTCTCTCGCAAATAAAAATAAATAAAACACATCTCAAACTTGATTTTATTTTCATTTAAACATAAAAATATCAAAAAATTAAAATTTTCATTCTCATAAAGGATCCACAATAAAAACTAATTAATATAAAAAAAATCAATAAAAAGAATTAAAAAGCATGAATAGCATACAAAACAATTAAAAAGAATATAAAATAGTAATGAAATAATAGATTATATTATGAAAGAGTAATGCTACACAAATTTAAAATATTGACTTAAAAATCTGACTTGATGGTGTGACTATTATATTTCTCATTGATTTAACTATGAATCTCAATAAATATTCGGATTCATTACCTATTCAATGGTGGAAGTCAATTTTTTAAATCTATTTAGCATTTGTCATTCTGAAAAATGCGAGTCAAACAAGAGATGAGAGAGACAAACAAATGTGCGAATCTGTTTGCTAAAAAAAAGTGTACTTAGCCATTATAGTCTATGTATATTTATAATTCCTATGGATTGTACTATTGAATAGTTGCACACAGATAACATGGGTATAAAATAACACATGTATAATACTTAATATAATATTAGATGCTTAAATCACTTAAAATATAAATATAAATATATATATATGATAGATTAAAAAATGCATAAAATATGGAATGTCACATATATTACTATTTATCCTTGTTTGTCATACAATAATTAAGTTGTCTCACTTAATCAATTTCATGGACGAAAATTCGACAGTGAAGGATGAGCAAAGACTATAATTGTTGCGAGATACGTAGACACTTCAATCTTTTGAATGAGTGGAGGTACAACAGGGCTAGCCTGGGACCCGACAATTAAAATAATTGTCTAGAGCCCTAAAATTTTAGGGCTCCAATTTAATTTTCAACTCTTAATTCAGTTTCATGTTTTGAGACCCTTTTGAATAGACAAAATTAAAGGCTCAATATTTTTATGAGTCTATGTAAAGTCTTATAGAAAATACTAAAATATAATAAAATCTTCTAAAAAAATTTAAAAGTAAAGATTTCTACTTTTAAAAATAGCAATTTGTCTCAAATTCTTTTCATTATTTTTCCTCCACTCTCTAACTCACACTCTTATTATCTTGCTTTGATTCTTTGTCTTTTATCTCTAGCTCTCTTGCTATATCTTTAAGACTTCATTCAATTTATTCATTTATAAGACCCTAATTTCACAATTATACTCAATTTATTGTCTGATCCCTAAAACATGGAAAATAAATCATACCGCAACTCTTTGTAAATTTTTTTTGATGATAGAAAATGTAATGGAAGTAGTCAACCCATAATTCCACACACCTGAAATTGACATTAATTTGCCATTACTTGTAATTGGAAAATATTTCCACCCAAAGACAATATGAAACAACTCTAAATTTTCTGAAAAATGGAGTGAAAGTTTAACATTCTGTCTAAAAATTCTGTAAAACGAGCTAGTAAAAATTCTTAAAATCCCAAACTTTCATGTAACATTCCATGGTTGAAAGTTTGTAAGTCATTTGGAATCTCTATCTCGGCAAAGTACTTGACTGCAACCTTATCCTTGCAACCATTGACAACCCTTTTGGAGTGACCTCTGCTGCTTCATGTATCTTATGTCAGATTTTTTCTTATTTCAGTTGGTACTACAAATCCGAGAATTGCTCGTTGGTTTAAAGCAAGACTTAGAAGGTCCTGAGTTTCTTTCAATCACTTCCAGAGTACTAAGAAAATTTAGTAAACTTTGGACTTGAAGTTAAGCATTGCGAATTTGATTCCATCTGTGAGAGTGTCGTCTATTATATGGTAAGATTGCCTAAAAATGATTTGTTTCTTTTTTGTCCGCCTTTCAAATGTTTTTTTTCGTACGTAGTCGCAGAAAGATCAAGAGGAGCAGTAGGAACATCTAGAGGGATAGTAGGAAGAGAGAAACAACGTGGCGAATATGGAGATCAGGTATTAGTATACAGTTG